TGAGATACTTTAAATAGTACACCATGAAACACCAAGACGGTCTATAAAAAACTGTCAGAGGTCAAATAAGTTTGAGGAATCCTCTCCACTGTATCACAAACAACCTCTATCTTTTCACCTGTCAAGACAAGATTCAAAATGCTAAACGCTCTGAGAAGTCTTACAGCGTAAGTAAAAATGACTCTAAACATAAACGCCCATGTGTAAACACACACACATACCCCACTAACTTTAATAACAGCAGTTAACATTTATGGGGTGCTTACTTTTCAAGCGCCTTTACATGTATTAGTAATTTATTTAATCCTCACAACAGCCGTACGAAGAAAGAAAATTATCTCCATTTTACCGAGTAGGAAACTAAAGCACAGCGAAGAGTTACCCAAACTGTAAACTTGTCTGAATCAAACACTTATTCCCAGAAAACGTTCCTGAACAGGTTAGAGAAATTGGGAGAGAATTATGGGAAGGAGGGCTAGAAGTTTGTGTGCTGGAGAAGAGAGTGGGGAGATATTGGGGGCACACGGATCTGGGTTCATTCTCAGCCCTGCCACAATTCTGACCCTTCTCATGGAAAAGTACTTAACTTTTCTGAAGGCTAAATGGAAATATGCATTTTTTGAAGGGTAATTGAGACACTTAGGTGAAATGGCCTGACATTTGTCTAACACTCCCCATCTTTTTCTATCTCTCTGAGGTCTTCCCAGGATCCAGAAAGAAAACTTGGAACTGTTTCTTGTAAGGGTTCTTAGTAGGACCTCAGATTGAAGCGTTATAGGCCAACATCTGAATGATCAATTTTTGTGTTAGCTGAAATTAGAAACGTAAGCAGTACCTGAGAGCAATACTGTGACATATCTCTAAAACCTGGAAATAAGACCGTGTCTGAGAATTAAAATGTAAAACAAACATAATGAGGAATTACAAGTTCCCCTTAATGGGTGCTAGGCCAAGATGTAACAGTTACCCAATGGAAGATATTAACATAGCTTAGAGAGAGGGAGGGACTGAGGGGCAGACACTGGCCAGCCAGCTGGTCTACCCTGGTGGAAGAGAGGGGTCTTCTACGATGTCACCCTTAAGATTATTCAACTGCTCTGTATACATGCTCACCAAGCAACTTTCTCATATTGTGGCTTCCGATGTGTGTTTTCACATAGGGAAAGGACATGTGGCTCAATGATTATAAGATCTACTTTATAATTGTGTTTCTCTTTATAAATGAATATCAGGGCACAATCCGGTTTAAATATCATGTTCTTTTGAGTTTGGTTCAGGTGAGTCAGGTGGTTTCCGGAGCCCAGTCATTGCCCAGATTGAATCTCGGAAACCACAAAATCGAGAATCAGACTTTAGAAGGTACTGGCCCCTCCAAGGCACTGATCCTCTGTGAAATGGTCCTGGGGTGTGTGGTGGTGGGGGGCAGCCCATTTTCCTTTGCAACACTCTTCTGTTCCATTGCATACCTTCTTCAGACCAAAAGACGGTGGCAGCGGGAGGCAAAGAATCGGAACAAGGTAGGTCTGAGGGATAGAAATGGATACAGGAAGGATGATGGGCTCAGTTTTCTCTAAGGCCAACTCTATTCTCTCGGATTTCCTTGTCTGCAGGGAGCTGACTCTGTTTTATTCTGTATTTCAGCTTCTCTAAATAATTTATTTAAGACCTTGGCAGTGGGTCTGTTCTGGAAACTAGTATCTCTGAGGGAGCAAAGCCGGGAACTAGGATGTTTCAGGCTGGATTTCCCAGCTGTGGGGCCATGAACTTGCCACATGACTTTGGATGAGCTTCTCAGCCTTCCTGAGGTTGCAGTGCCCTCTCCCGACAAAGGAGGAAACAGTGATAGAGGACAACTCTGTCTGAGTAGTGAGTGGTGGGCACAGAAACCCATTTCCACCAGAGGGCAGGACTCGTTCTTACTGGGATAGGTCTTTTTTCTCTTGTTTGAACAGGTTTTTGTTTCCTTGTTTCAGCCTTCCAAGACCATAAAGGGGAAACTAAGCGTGGGCTGTGAATCACCACTTCACTCAGTGGTGGTTTACTTGTGCAGGCACTTTGGACATTTGTAAGTAAAGCAGAAAATGAACTAACAAGCACAGTTTCAACACTGGGCTGGTATTAAGCAGTACTCTCTGGGAGTGGGGGAGTAGGGGAGGTGGGGGTGGGATGGAGAGGACAAAACAAAAAAAGGGACTCACGTCACTGTTCCTGCCACGTGAGAAAGAATCATTTTCTCCCTGATCCAAGCAGCAGTTTCCTGTTCCTTTCTGTTGACAGCCATTTGACTCCTAGGGAAGAGAAACGCCTTGAGATGAAAAACCTTTTAATAGGTAAATGAACGTGCGCCTGGAACGTTTTGGCAATTTAAATGAGACTCCAGATGTTTTTTAGTCACTTTTGGTGGTTTCTATTGCAATAGATAATTACAAGATCTTTTTATCTTTTGCTTTATTTTTAAAGTAAAATGGTACAGATGGAATTGTAAATTATATAATATGATATATGTACCATATACGAAACCTATAATTAAAACAATAATATATAATATAGAGAAGAAAAGAAATAAACTATCATTACCCTATTCTACTGATTATTCTTACATAATATATATTTGTACTATATTTATAGTACTTTTTATTTTGCTTTTTTGTTCATTTATTTGCCTATTGTTTTGTTCATTTATGTTGTGTCTTTTTCCATATCATTAAGTGTCTTTAAAATATAATTTCGCTGATTGTATAATAATCCAGCTTTTAAAGATATATACATATATATCTTCACACAGATAATATATACACATATTTATACACACATATATATTTTTTTAAAATTTGACAGTGATGTATATACTTAGGTTTTCCCCTACATTTCATAACTACAAATAACATTGTAATAAACATTTCTGTCTTTACTTGTACAGCTTTATGTACATCTCTGAATTTTTTCTTAGGTGGACTCCTAGTGGTAGACTTAATTGCTAAGATGCTTTTCGAGGAAATAACAATTTATCTATTCCCTGGCATATATAAGATTCGAAAACACTAAATATTATCATTTATGTAAGAACCTTATAAAAAATAAAAAATAAAGGAAGATGGAAAAAAATCACTTTGGTTACCAGACATTTGGGATCTGCAAGGGACTGACTGAGAATTAATGGGCAATTGATGAATTTTAAAGCAGATTTCTATTTGCCGGCTCTTTTATTTCCTATTTCTTCCAAATTCACCTCTTGTGTCTTCTTCCTTAAACAATTTTTCCCAAGTATCTAGCAAAATACTTGCTGCCAGATGCCCCAGTTCTCTGTCTCTGCTAAAATGTTCCAGGCTGCATCTTCCTAAGTCTGTCCCAGAAGCAAAACAGCTGGGCCAAGCTAACAGCACTTTATCTCTTACTCAGAGCTCTGAGAGGTTTCACGATGGGATGGCCAGTGATAACAGAAAAACCCAGTCTTCTCTTGGCCTAGTAGATGGGAACCTCGGATATCCCCACTGGGGACAGGTTCCTTTCATCCATTAAAGTTCCTGGTGCCTGCTGGCCTCGGGGTGGGTCTCTGACCATATTTTTGCCTTTATCCCCAAATTCTGTGCTGCAAAACCCGCACTAGGTGCCGTGGCTCTTGGCGATCCACATTCCAGAGGGGTAGAGGTTTCCTTTAACTTTATCTGTACTGCACAAGTGCTTTTCCATTTACACCAGTAGTTTAATGGGTATTCATTTTATTTTTCGGCTTGTCAGCTTTGGCTCCCCCATGTGGCAGAGCCTGGGACATGTACGCAAGGGGGCCCCGCCTGGCTCTGGGGAATGGGGCACGCCACCTCTACTATTTGTGGACGTAGGGCAAGGGAACAGCTGGAGGCCCCCTGCTGCCCTTCTCTCCCCACTTTGGCTCTGTTCTGCACTGTGAGGGGCTTCAAACAACCTTGTGAATGCCCCAACCTGGATGTCCAAGCTCTGTCCATTCCCTCCAAAAACAGCCAGCCAGTGGTTGCCATCCTTTGACCCAGGGGTGCACACATTGGCCATTCTGATCTGCCTTAGGTAGATGGACTCAGGGAGAAGCTTGTGTCAGGCTTGAGAATGGGGTCAAGGCTGTACCTGGAGACTGGTCTACAAAGAGGTGAAGGCCATAGGTGAACAAGTCACCTTGCCCGGTGGCCTGAGAATGGCTGGAGGAGGACCAGCGAGGGGTCGTTCAAAATGTGGGGTCTCTCTTGCTTGAGTCTAGAGGTGGTACTGTCCCCATCCGTCCAACCCTCCGCAGAGAGCGATCAGGTGTGCTTGTCTGGTCTTCCCATCAAACACTATTCGTAGCATCAATAGTATTCCTAATAATGCTAATAACTATTTGTTGATTTCTTACTAAGTGCCAAGCAAGACTTTGCTACGTGCTTGGCCATAAATTCTCATTTGATCTTCACAGCAGCCCAGTGAGGTATCCCCATTTTTCAGAGGAAACCCCCTGTTGCTCTTGGACTTGGGGTGAATTTTGGATTCCACACTGCGCATTTGGCTTCTTCATGCTCACACTTGCCCGCTGGTCTGGACTCCTGGGACAAACCTGGCCTCCTCAAAGCAAACTCCAGTCTTTCGCTTGTCTCCTTCCATTTGCTGGAGCCCTCCCGCCTGTCCTGTCCTGAGGCCCTGCTTACCTAGGCATGGAAGATGTCTGCAGGGCTGGTTAGATCACCTGCCTGACCTCAGCGGTGTGCCATGAAACATCAAAAAAGGTGTAACGTTCACCCCGTCCTCAGCAAATAGCTGAAACTCCCGTGAGTCGGTTGGAGCTAACTCGTTGGTCTCCCTTACAGTCTATTGAGATGGTCTAAAAAATTAAGCTCCTGTAGTCCCAGCCTTGACCAGCTGTCACTGTCATTTTGCTCTGTAGAGTGTCTCCGTAGTCATCTACTTACCACGCAGAATGTCCTTCCACTCTCGAGAATTGGCCGATACCCAGTGCAGCGGCATAGATTACCTAATCAGAGAAGAAGCCTTGTTATCGGCAGGCTTTATTTTTACCGGTTTCTTTTGGAAGTTAAAACAGACTCAGGTTTTTTTGGGAGTATTTAGATATCTTCCAAACGGTTCAATACTTTTTTCTTTTCTTAGAACATTATCTTTTCCACCACTTCCATGGCAGTTTTATTCTCTGTGTTAAAGAAGATGATAGTCTATCTGGCGAGCTCGCTTGCATCTATTCATTCATTCAGCATGTTTCTATGGACAACAACTATATTTCAGACATTCTGTAAGATGTGGGGGACCCCAAAACACAGAAAACGTAGGCCATTGCTGAGGCACTGTATGAGCAGGATATTATGCCCTGGACAGTTAGTGGTGCTCCTCATGGAGTTTAGGTCACTGCATCAGAATTTCCTAAGGGCACTGTAAATGCAGATCCTTGCCATTCTCCACTTCTCTTGAATTAGAACCTCTGGAGATAGGCTCAGGAATCTGCATTGAAGAGGTCTGTAGGTAATTTCACTGCATAATAAAGTTTGAGAACCTCAGGTTTCCAAGGATGAAGGTGTAGGGGTGGGAATGGAGGAAGTCAGTGTGGGATAGAGTTCATTCAGGAGGGCTTCACGAAGAAGCCCAGGCTGGAAGGATGAGCAAGCAACGGGTTGATGGAGAGTGGGAGGAGGGTGTTCAGGGTTCACAGAGCAGCATGAGCAAAGGTGCAGAAATGGGAACATGCAGAGGAATTGGAGGTGGAGAGGAGACTGCCCAGGAGGGAGTCACGTAGCAGAGGAGGAAGCACAGGTGAACGAGGCCCATTGGACTTCTTTGGATGCTTGGTGAAGGAGAGTAGACTTGGCCACATTTGAGGCGTGAGGAGCTGTTGAAGGACCTCACATAGTGGGAGAACTTAAGGAAGATGGAGATTTTAGATGAATTGATCTGATTTTCTATAATGGAACAGAATAAAGGAATTCTACCAGCAACTGGTAGAATAGGAGAGTGTGTCTGTGCTCACCTTTCAGGCCTCAGTCTAAAAATGTGTGTATCTAAAAGACTTGTTTAAGGATTACTGACACCTGAAAATGACGATTATTAATTCTGAAAAAGGGATGTGTTTATGAACTCCTCTTTAGTGACTTAAACCTCTTGCGAAATTTAAGGGAGCTTTTCAATGTGTGAAGGGCTCTGTGATGGGTTGAATTGTGTCCACCCAAAAAGATATGTTGAGGTCCTAACCTCTGGAACCTATGAATGTGGCTTTATTTGGAAATAGGGTCTCTTAGATGTAGTCAAGTTAAATTGAAGTAATACTGGATGAGAGTGGGTTCTAATCCAGTAACTTGTGCTCTTACAAAAAGAGAAATTTGGACACTGTCACACGGGAAGAAAGCCATGAGAAGATGGAGGCAGAGATTGGAGTGATGAATCTATAAGTCAGGGAATGCCAGGGTGGCTGTCAGCCACCAGAAGCTAGGAAGAGGCAGGGAAGAATCCTCTAGAGCCTTCAGAGGGAGCATGACGCAGCCGACAGCTCGATTTCAAACTTCTAGCCTCCAGGACTGTGAAAGAATAAAATTCTGTTGTTTTAACCCACCCAGTTTGTGGTACTTTGTTACAACATTGCTAAGGAAGGCAGCCAAATAAGTCACTGGATAGAGAAATGGGGTGTCAAGATGGGGGTGTGGTCCACGTGCAATATCAGTTCTGTGCAGGCCACTCCAGCAAGTACTCTGATAAGCAGGGTACAGCTTGACATTCTCTTTCTTGGGTGAACTGTAGCTCCTTTAGAAACAACCGAGGGGGTCTCCGAGTGGGACTGGGGTGGCATTGTGGGTGGGGTGGAGCAGCCCGAGGCGCACTTCCCACCCAGCCTTGCGGGGGAGGCGGGTTCTCTCCATGTCAGACCTACCTCCCAGGGCTTCCATGAGCTGCTCCTCTGAGGGCTGCGGGTGGTTCCTGAGCAGTGTGTACATGGACATCACCATCCCAGGGGTGCAAAACCCGCACTGGGTGCCGTGGCTCTTGGCGATCCTTTCCTGAAAGGACACGTGCGTGGTCACAGGCCCTGCTTTCCTGCTGCCACCACCTCTCACCAGAGTCCACATCCTGGACCTGCCTTGTCAGGATGAAACCCACTCCTTGAGCAGTGCACTCTGCCCCTCAATCAGAGGTGGCCAGTGTCTCCTTTCCTATCCTGCTCCTGGATGAGGTGACTCAGAAGCTGTTTTCAAGCTCCAATGCCCAGATCCTTCTAACTGAGAATTAGCAGCATGCAGCCTCCATTCCTAAAATGAGAATTCTCCAGAAATCAGTAATTATAAGGCAAGTGTTGTATCAAAAACCATTGTCTTGAACACTCTGACATCGTGTCCAGCTTAGTTTTGACCATAGGGCCATCTCTTTTTGGTTAACTTGGAGACTATGTACTATTGACCTCTTGTTACTTTTTTTCTTTAAATTCTTTCATTTGGCTCAAAAAGGAGCCCGACTTTCAAAGGTCCAGGATTCTGGTCTGTGTTCTAGATCATGGCTATTTAAAGTGTGGTCCAAGGACTAGTGGTGTCAGTTCCACGTGGGAGCTTGTAGAAAATGCAGAATGTCCATCCTCTGCTCCAAACTTCCTGAATTGGGATCTGCATTTTAAATAAGCTCCCAGCTGCTTCTTACACACATTTGTTTGGGAATCTCTGCTCTAGATTTCACAAAGTGATTAATCCCAGTGGTTGAGTTATTGGACCTCGGCATGAACATCCTTCTCAGAGACCCCAGTGAACTCTATTGGGTCCTTGGCCTTGGCTGATCTCCCTGGAATCCATTCTCATGTGGTTAAACCCAGGCTCCTCCTTCCTGGAAAGACTTGAAGTATTGGTAGGTCTGGATCTATGAATCTCCAAACCCCCAGTGACAATGACAGTGGGATCAATGTGTTTCTGCCAACGCATGTCACGGTACTCCTAAAACCAGCCTCTTTGTTTCAGCTTCAAGTTAAGCTTTGTAAAAATGATTGTCCTCATGCTCTTGCGCAGTCACCCTCAATTCTGATTTTACTCCAAAGGCCACCATGCCATAGGGATTAATCCTGAATTTTATCCTGTTAGCCTCCGAGACATTTATTTTATTTATTTATTCCACGCCGTAGTCCAATAGGCATTAATAAATGTTTTGATAATCCTATTTATCATTCAAGTAGGAAGAGTAAGAAAAAAGATGATCATCTAATAAAATATGGATGGATTTCCAGCTTTCTTTATTATCTTGAGCAACATGCAGCCAAAGCTTCTACTTACCTGGCCACAACTGAGAAGCCTCAAGCAGCACAGTCAACTCAGCATTGGTTAAAAAGATAACGTTAACAAGTTAGAATATGAGCATGTGCTCTTACCTGTACGGGATGAAGCTTGGTTTTGATGCTTCCGACACCTTCTACAGTGGTGATAGCAGCTCCATACAGAGAGCAGATGGGCACCAGGCATGCAGTGATGGAGAAGTGTCTTTGTATGAAAAGCACAAGGAAAATCAAAGGGAATAACATAGTCCTGCCTCATGGGGAACCTGTGAAACCCGTGAACCTGTGAACGGAAAAGGGCTGCAGGAAATCCCACCCCCCAAACCTGTCAATCAACCTGACAGCTGAGGAGCTGGAGAGGTGACAGGGAGGAAGAATTTAGTCTCCTCTCTGCCGACTCTGTTATCTGTAAGAACTGGAGATCCTCAGGGGGAATATAGGCATTCTGAACTTCAGAAAAAATTTCCAAGCCCAAAACAGACCCACTTGGGTCTGGACTCAATGGAATGGACTCATGTCACCAGAAGTATGGTTGGACCTCAATGGTATTCATTAGGACAGTGACCCCATAATAGGTAAAAGGCACACCTATGTCTTTTTCCCATATTCATGAATTTTTTTTTTTTTTTTTGCTTGTTAATTTTAAACTCCCTGTATAAGGTCACTCAACAGTGTTAGATGGCTTGTGTTCTGAGGGCATTTCTTGATTTCTTGGGCCAGTGAACTTGGGAGCAGCCCAAGTCCTGGAATCTGGCCCTAATTTAAGGATGGAATTATGACTCAGGCCTCTGCTGTGCAGGATTGGTCCAACCCAACAGTAGAAAGAGCATTAATGTCCAAGCCAGAAAATATGACTTGGAAACCCTATCTCAATGCTTGTTCTACAGCTCACTAGTTATATGACCTTGAACAAGTCACTACACATTTTTGAGCCTCAGTTTCTTCATCTGTAAAACGAAGGGCTGGCCTACGTTGGGGTTTCTTAACCTGGGATGCATAGATGGGCCTTGGGAGGTCCATGCTCTCCCTTGAAACTGTGTGAAAAATGTAATTTATTTATGCATTTTCCTAGTAAAGTGTTCCTAACTTTTATTCAATTTTCAGAGGGCCCTAAGATCCAGAGGTACTGAGAATCACAGGCTGAGAGGTCTTCGAGATCTCCTTCAGCTGCGAGATGAGAATACAAGTCTGGCAAAGAAACAAAGCCCTCCCCTGGCCTCTGGGCTTCTGGGCAGGATACCTTATCTTCTTGGATGTGGGGTCACACTTAGACACCATCACGGTGCAGGCACCACAGCCTCCTCTTCCACAGGCATACTTGGTTCCCGTGAGGCCTACTGGAAGGAAGTGGTCAAGGAGACGATACCAAGGTAGACATGTCACCTCCATTATAGCTGCCTCCCTAGGGTGTTACTAGCGAGGAAAGTCTTCTTGGGGGCGGGGGTGCAGGTCTGAGAAGTCATTTTCCTGTCTCCAGGTCTCAGGAAAGGCTACTCCATATCTTATCAGCTGTGCGACACTAATTGTGTTAAACTCTCCCTGTCTGTTTTCTCACTTGCAAAGACAGAAAGTAATACCTACTTTATCTTTACAAGCTTATCATAAGCATCTTGTAGGATAATGGATGTAAAAGTAAAAGCCCTTTGAAAAATCCTATTTTGTTATGAGTATTCTTTTGGGTTCCAATCATGTAATTGGAAAAAAGGAACTTATATTTAGCAGTTCAAAGTACTGCTAGTTTTGCCAAGTAATTTGTATTGTATTTGAATGCAAGTGAGGGCCTTTGGAGAAAACGCCCACCCTTAATTTCATATCCTACTTTGCGTGTTCCTCTGCTCCCGTTTGGATCAAGTTTAATCCCAAATCTATGCTCAGCCTCTGTTCCCTCTCTTTAGTCACCTTTCTCTCTAAATTGTGGTTCATTTCCACAAAATTTATGGGATTAGAGTTTGAAATCACTGGCTGGCTTGCTTATTCACTCACTCACTCACTCACTCACTCACTCATTTATTTATTTATTTATTTATCTATCTATCTATCTATCTATCTATCTATCTATTTATTTATTTATTTATTCATGCATTCATTCACTCATTCATTCATTCATTTATTTAAAAGCCATATGCTTGTTCATTTAAGTTAAGTCATAACCTCAGATGCTTATCAGAGTGGTTACATGAAAGTGGCTGGGAGTACTGGAGAGCTCATGCCCCACTTTACACAGGGGACTAGTGACAGTCCCTACTCAGCTTTAAGTGAGACTGTAGCCACACAGGGATGACTATTCCCATTTTTTATGAGAAGCAGGAAAACCTCAATTTTTAAAAATATGAGATTTCTTAATTTTCAATTAAGAAATTTTCAAACATTGACAATGAAGAACCATGTGGGCTTTTAAACAAAACTTTTCTGGGGCTGATTTCCTCAATTTTTAATTTCTTTCTTTCTTTTCTTTTTTCTTTCTTTCTTTTTTCTTTCTTTTTTTTTTTTTTTTTTTTTTTTTTTTTGCTTCCCTGAGAGATCCATTAATTTACCAATTAAAATATATTTGCCATCATAAAGATCCAATTTTCAGAATGCAAAATGGTGGGGGAAAATCTGTTGTAAGAAAATTAAAAGCGATCTTCCTATGACATGTGTTCTTTTCCTGATTCTGGAGAATCGGGTTTCCCAGGGCAGGGTACATGCACCATAAGCCTTCATTTCATAATCACCCTCCTGGGACCTGGAAGGCCTTGAAAGCAGTAATTAGTGCTAAAGTAAAGAGCTCAGCTTCTATTTCAGTGCTACTAAATCAAGATATAAAAAACTCTGGGGAAACTTCATCCTCTCTAAATAGTCCACTTAACTTAATATCCTTAAAACCATTGCCAACAGCAAAGGGAGAGCAAGGGTCAAGGGGGCTGACTGGGGATGAAGAGTTCGATTAGTTTTCATAATCACAGCTGATCTAGGTTTTAAGGCAAACATAGACACAGCCAAGACTTCGATCAAAAGGGTCCAGTTCTTTCGTAGGAAGGTCAGCAGAGTGACTTCAGGGTCCGCATTCCTCTCTATCACCTGAGTTGGAAACAGAAAGATGATCATGGGGACTGTATCAGTGACCCAGGGGAGTGGCTGTCGTAGTCTGCTTGATTTAGGGGTTGGGATATAATATTAGGTCCAATTTCATCTGCCCCTGCTTTTTCTGTGATCTGACAGCAAACAATCTTCACATGCATTTATAGAACAAGAGACTCACCAAGCAAGTGTGGCCATATTGCTTGTCTATGTGATCACAGCCAGAACCATTGCTGCGTAAACGTGCCCTGGAGGCTGTATTCTTCACGTTTGCACCACTGTCTATTTTTGTGGAACCTTCCAACCCAGTTGTTTGTACTTTTGAAATATGTCAAATTGGGAAGAGACTTGGATGTTGTGTGCGTGTGCGTGTGCGTGTGTGTGTGCGTGTGTGTGTGTGTGTGTGTGTATGTGAAAGAGAGTGAGAGAGAAGAGAGAGAGAGACAGAGAGAGAGGAGGGCGGGGGGTCCTGGAGGGAAGAAAGCTGGGCAGGAAGTTTCTATTCTGTCATCTCCGACACACCTCTAGTGGGGAGTACATTTGATAACATCAGGGACTTGAAGAGTTGGCAGCAAAAGGGGGAGGTAAGAGAGTTGCTGGTTGCTGTCATCTGTAGCCCTGGAGTATGCCAGCCTTCTCACTGGCAGAGTGACTGATGGCGAGCCTCGTTGCCTCAGCTCAGCACCTCAGGGCAAAACACTAGAATTCTTTGCTCCCTCACCTTGAAAATTGAGGGACTTAGCACTAAAAGCCATGGAGGGACCTTCTTTGGTGCTTCTTTCCCATTTCTTATTTGGGGATATTGTTTTTGACTTTATCTTGGGGTGTTCTGCAAACACCTCCAGCTATTCTCTTGCATCAGTGGAAAGAAAGACACAGTGGGCTATTCATGTTAGGTGCTTCTTTTCTCCCCAGAAGAAAAACATGAACCTGTGTAGACCTCAAAGAATAAAAAAAGTACAGGAAGATGCTTCTAACTTGAGGTATTAAAATGCAACTGCTTTCTGGATCTCTGGGGGGCTCCCGACAAAAGAAGAAGCCCTCCTCTGCTACTCCCACCCCAGGTGCTTTAAAAACATTTATTGAGAATGTGGTTGGATAATATTTTTATTATCTAGCTGACTTCTATCCCCATTCACACCCACTCTTTTTTACCTGTATTTCCTCCAACCCTTGACTTATTCCCCGTTCTGGCCACTTCATTCTGGGCTTATGACTAGAAGGGACATGGAACAGAAAATAGAGGGAGCAACCTCTGAAATCTAGGGCAGTAGATCAAGAGAGTAAGGACTCAGCTCATAAGGGATAGTTTTGGAAGAATGTATGGAGGCTGCTGGCTGTGGAGAGGAGAGAGAGTTAGAAGGGAAATGACAAGAACTTAGAGGCTTTATGTTCTATCTCCTTTCTTGGGCCAAGCCCTGGGACGGGCAGTGAGGTGAATGTGACCAAATCCCAATTAGGTTTGTGGGATTGGAGGGCTGAGGGGCTCTGGAAGACAGGTGGCGAGATCACAAAGAAGCTGCTTGCCTTGGGAACTATAGAATGGTTCCCTGGAGAGACAGATAGAGACTCAGGAGCCGAGGGGGCCTGGCAGAGAGCACTAAGGCTTTACTAGAGGTCTGTATGGACTGACAGTGAGGACTAGAGGGGAGGATGCCAGGAAGAAATGCAACAGAAGAGCCTCCTCTTCTTGTCATATAAATTCCTCCTGGAACGGAGCCGTAACTCAGGGAACTCTAAATTGACTGCGATTACATTTTAATCAATTCTGTGTAATGGAAACTCAACCGAAAAATTAAGTCGATAAATAGAAAAATAAAGAAAGCTCTGTTTCTTGTCCTCTTGAGTTTGAAGATCAAGGTATGTTAACAGATAATGAGCTTCCGATAGATCAGGCTCAGTGCTAAGTGATTTATAAGCATTTAGGAGATTCCTAATCAGCGTTAAGAGGTATCTCTTTTTCAATCTTGACAATCACTTTAGAAAGTGGATTCTAAGGATGGGTACTTTGAGGCTCAGGGAACAGTAACTTGCATAAGTTTATACAGTATACACCAGAACTGGATTGGAACCAAGACTCTCTGACAACAAGGCACATGTGATTAACCCCAATACTTTACTGCCTCCCACATTCCCAGAGGCTGAGCCTTGGCTGAGTGGAAAACAGTCCAAATTAGTACGGGTTCCATGTCCCTGGCTTCTTGTCTCTGACTAGAGGGGTTTCAACCAAAAGAGGCCACAGGTACTCCCGTCAAGCTAGTAGATTCCCGCTGTCTGTGCAAACCGTAGTAGCAGCACTCAACACTCACCTTCCTCCCGTTCACAAAGAAAAACAACTCATCGGATCTCGAGGGGCAGGGCATCGCAGCTGTGAGCAGGTTTCACCTACAGCTCTAGGTGGAAACGCTCTTTGGCACCAGCCACGGAACTGAGCACAAAGGATTTAGGTCCAAGCACTGAAAGACGATTTCCTGGTTTCGTGGCCTTTTAAGTTTGAGGTAGCTGTGTGGTCCCGCCTCTTACTGCATGACTCATTCTGCCTTTCACAATCCTGGTTTCAAAGCTTGCTCCACGCATGGGCCACACCTCGTCTTGCTTTCTCTGAAATTGGAGGGTCTGAGTGCAAAAACCTGAAAATAACCATCTAAGCTTAAACCCACTCTGCACACTGCCTCAGCCCCATGAATATATTCTGGGTAGGTTTCCTTCCCAAAGAGAGATAGAAGTAAGATTTCTGAGACATCCCATTTTCCCCAACTCTTATCTTGTTCTACTTGCAGAAATGTCTCCTTGTAGGAAATCATGTGGACAGTCCAGTTTGTGCCCTAACGTGGAGGTGTGGGGCATTGTATCCACCTGGCTCCTCCATACCCTTCCTACATTTTCTCTGCCTGCAGGATTTTATTACTGGAAAATAGAGATCTAATCAAGGCAACCATTTTACAGGTAAATAGAGGCTCAGATAGGTAAGTAGCTCAAGTAAGTGGCAAAGCAAGAGCTAAAACCAAGATCTGCTGGATTAAAACACCTGTGACTATATAGACGGATTCCTTGATAAAAAGCAAAATATCATTTTTGATCTTTCTGAATATCTCTAGTTAGATATCTGTAGATAAAATCAAGCAGTTCTTATTCTTTCAACTAAAGTACTGCCCAGGACTTGAGCAGGTAACTACTCAAGTGGTTAGGTTTCAGGAGAAGAGGTAAGAACTCTGTCCCCTGACACTTCTGTGATGAGTGTTTGGAGCCCAGGCACGCCATTGTTAGAGTCAACCCTTCATCTTAAGGTGAACTCAATGTGTGACAGTGCCTCTTGCCAGAGACAGCAAATACCTGGCATCAACTTGACGTTGCTAACTTGGTCCAGATGTGGCTTCAGAATCCTTCCCACCATGGAGCTAGTACAGAAACATTCCTAATCAAATGCAGTTGGCAGCTTCCAACTTTCTTTACGACTCCAATGCCCAGGTCCCAGCCATATCCATCTTCATGCACCTGTGGAGATGAGTGTTTATGCAGGTGCGCATGGTGCCTACCCCAGAGTAAGTGTCCAGTAAGAGTGCGTATATGGGTATTTCACATGTGTTGAAAAGTTGCTGAATAAACACACGACAGGGTCATGAGAGGAGAAATCAGAGATGACACTGTACATATATAGCCTTCAGGTCAGATTTTTTGATCATGCCATTTCGGATAAAAAATACCGCTAGTAGCTCTCTGAGGCCTAGAACATAAAGTCCAAATTGCTTAACCCACTGTGCAAAGTCCTCCACAATCTATCCCTGTTTTTGGCTTCAGACCCTCTTGCTCTTCAAAAACAATCTCTTGCTCCAATCAAACTACTCTTCTCAGGGTTATTCTTCTGCTTAAACCTGGCATTTCTCTACTTGAAAGTTTCCGATGGCCTTGCATCACACTTAGTAAACTCCATGTGCTTTCTGTGGAGGCCTCACGAGATTGGCCCCTTGCATCTCGCTGAGTACCTCTTCAAGCACGTACTCCCTTCTTTGTAATCTCTGCCACTCTGGCCTCTTCATGCTTCTTGAAAGTGCTAAATATTTTCCTGTCCAAAGGCTTTGGTGCATGTTATACATTCTGCCTCGATTTCTCTTTTCTCAGATTTTAGCATGGCTGATGCTTTCTTGTTATCCGGATCTGAGCTCTTCTCTGATCACACAGTCTGAAGTAGCACCTCCATCACGCTCTCTTCTACCACCCCATTTTATTTCCTCTGTAGCACTCATTACTGCCTGACATGGATTCTTGTTCACCTTTTTATTTGCATTCTCCACTAGAATGTAAGTTCCAGGAAGGCAGGGATGTTACTTTCAGCTCACCACTATATCCCTGGGCATAGAATGGTGCCTACCCCAGAGTAAGTGTCCAGTAAGTATTTGTCGAATGACTGAAGAAGGCTCTTCTGTGTCTGTGATGTTAACAGTCCCATTCCTGTCCCCCTGTGATGGGCTTCCTTCCTTTATCTACCATCAAAAAGCATCTTTGGGCCTCCCTTCTCCCGCTCAATTCTGAAAGCATCCGCAGCTCCAGCTAATCACTTCTTTCTTTATTTTTCGTTTAATAAACCACGAACCAGAAAACTAGTCTCTTGTCTGCCATTAATAGTTGGTTGTCTTTTCAATGGTCATGTCTCATTTTTCCAATTAGGTGATAAGCTCTTGGAGGTTAGAATAATTACTTGTATCCCCTACAACGCTTAGCATGAATGACAACTTGTTCTTTGCAGGGGTTAATAAATGTATGACTGATTACCTAAAATACTTTAAATGAAGAAGGCATTAATGATTCATTCATTCATTCACCCCATAGGTATTGAGCATCTGTGTTGCACCAGGCACTATGCTAAGAGTCACAGTGGGAAACAAGATTTATGAGTTTTCTTCCTCTAAGGAGTTTGTGGTTAATAAGAGAGACCATTAATAAGCGATCAAATATATACCATTTTGAGAAGCACAGAACAGGGTAATTATCCTTGTTTTGGGGAGAGAGATCAGGGAAAACCCAAGGAAGCGACAGCTAAGCCTGAAAGATGAGTAGGAGTTGATTCCATGAGAACTGGGAAAGGAGCCAGGTAGGGAGAGAAAGCGTGAAGGCAGAAGCCTTTCTGGAGGGCTGCTACCACTTTGGGGAAAACTGACACAAGGATTGTTTGTGAAGGTCCACAGTCTGTTCCCCACCCTACTTTGCTCCTTAAAAGAGGGAAACCAGTAACCCAAAGAGCACACGATTCCGGCTTACAGGAACAGGGAGGCTGTCAACAAAAAACATGGATCACGATGTTTCAAAATATTTATAGGAATAAATCCTTCAGTGTGACATAAAATACAACCACTTAATGTAGAAGAACAGTTTTAGAGTACTAAAATTGGATTATGGTGTTAGAGTTGGAAGATATAAAAGTACTTTGGATTAAGAGAATCAAATATATTAATTTCTGGGAAACTGAAAAATGACCTTGAACGGCTTTCGGGAGTGTTTTCAAGCTTGTTTCAGCCAGAGAAACTTTTGTTTGAATGTAATCTTATTAAGTGTGAATAGATTAAACACAAAGGTTCCTGCTTGGCTGAGTGGGCTAGGGGTGAGGCCTGCAGTCTTCCGGTTTTTTTTTTTTTCTCCTCTTATTAGAAACTCTGTGAGCTCAGTCTAAAAATCACTCACTACAGGGTTGACCAAGGTAGGATGCATCTCTGCTGAGTGTTTCTCCCAGATCGCATTCAAATCAATGGAAAAAGCAGCCAGTGCTTTTTTTCTTTTCCTTTTTTCTTTAATAAGAAGGGAAGATTAAATTCCTTCACTTTTAAGTGGATTGTTCTGATGGGTGAAACTCATATATTGACTCAGGTGCTTGTTTGTTTTTAAAAAGGTCTTATGAATTACTTGAAAGATCCTGTTATGAAATGGTAGAATTAACACTGGAAATGACACAGCCCTCCTCCACAAACTCAAACCTATTTCTGGAAAAAAACCGTAACAAATCCCGTTCACTGATGTAAATAGAAAAGTACTGGCCATGACATCCATGTCCCTGGTGTTCTGTGGTCTGTTGTGAGCTCTTCAAAAGCCAAAGTTGGAATGCAGGTGAGCAGACTGATGGCGAAGCACTTTTTAGGACCCATGGGTTGGTCATTAAATGCCTGTGTTCCAGACCCTGCATTCTCAACCTTTCTGGCTATGAGGCCTCCTCCCTACCCTTCCCAGTTCCAATTGTTGGCCTCTACTGAACCAGGTGGCTGCTGCGCTTATGGGAAGTGGGTACCAGTGAGGCCTTGGGCTGTGTGAGATAGGGTTCTCTCTCCAACAGGCTAGGGAAGTACCTGGACATCCGCACCCCGAGAACCGTGAATCTGGAGGAGATCTTGGTCTTTCGGGGCGTGAGTGGGGCATGGAGAAAGTTTGACACTCGTGTGAACAGGAGATCAGGATTGCCAAATGAGTCACCTGAGCCCTTCCTGCACCTGGGTCTGGATGAGTATAAGGAAAGGGCCTGGAGGGCAGAGTATATGGGCAAAGAGGAATATTCTCAAGCCTGAAGAATTTGAACTTGCCTGAGACCTGCCATCCCTTCCTTCTTTCCCATTTCTCCCTTTGGAACGTCTATCCGAGGCCTGTCCCACCGTGTATTTTGGAAGCACATTACATATCTGATTTCCTAGGTTCACAGCTGGAGAGCAGTTTGCCTACATACAAGAAGGTCATGAATTTTGGGGTGCTAGGCATGGAATGATATATTCTGAATGTTTGTGTCCCCTCCAAATGCGTATGTTGAATCCTACTCCCAAGGTGATGGTACTAGGAGATGGGGCCTTTAGGAGACATTTAGGTCATGAGGGTAGAGACTTCATTTGTGGAATTCGTGCCCTTATAAAAGAGATCCCAGAGAGCTCCCTTGTCTTTTCCACCAAATGAGTACACAGTAAGAAGATACCAGGAAGCAGGTGCTCACCAGACACCAAATCTGCTGACACCTTGATCTTGGACTTCCTAGCCTTCAGAATTGTGAAGAATAAATGTTTGCTTTTCATAAGCCACCTGGTCTATGGTATTTTGTCATAATCCCAAATAGACAAAGACAAGACCCCCAGGATACTATAGATCCTCAGGATAATGCAAATGAAAACAAGAATTTTGATTCTTTATTATATCTTTTGGTAAAAATTTGTATCCTAAAACATAACTATGCAGTGACCTAAACTACAAGGAATAATTAAAAGATGCTAAAATTACCCTTGACAAGTGGGAGTCAACTTATATTTTGCTCTGGTTTGAAAAATTTCAGGTGAATCATGAATTCTTTCATTTTTTAAGGAAAACAGAATTAAGACACATGGATGGACCAAGGTGTACATGTTGAAGGATCATCTCTGGGAATCTGAAAAAGATCAAAAGGAGAAAGATAGTTATTAACAAAGTGTTGTTATATCGAACAAACAAAACAGAAACAGACTCATGGTACAGAGAACAAACTGATGGTTGCCAGGTGGGTGGGGGTTTGGGTGTGGCTGAAATAGGTTTAAGATGTACAAATTGGCAGTAACGAAATAGTCACAGGGATGTAAAGCACAGCATAAGGACTATGAGTGATAATATTGTAATAACACTGTATGGTGTCAGGTGGGTACTAGATTTATTAAGGGGATCACTTTGTAAGTTATATAAATGACAAACCACTATGCTGTACAGCTGAAACTAATAAATATTGAATATCAACTTAAATAAAAAAAATAATAAAAAACTAATAAAACAAAAAAAAAATTAAATAGTCCAAAGAAGAAAATCTATTTAATCATTGCAATAAAATAAAAGCCTCTGAAATTCAGAGGCATTGGAAAGAGAAGTCAGACTTCTGCTAGTGTGCCCGTCTAGCCTTTTGCCTCAGTCCTTTTATCTTGTCTGGAACATAGTCTTGACACCTGAGGTACAGCCAGCATCTTGTAACCTGGAGACTGAAAGCCATATTCTAAGAGAGTGGAGCAGGAACGTGGAAGAACTAGGTCCTTGATGGCATTATTGGACTACCCTGGGCTCCAGAAATGTTTTGTTTCAGAAAACTTTCTTGTTTAAAAATAAATAAAATGCTGTTATATGAAAAAAGTTGTAATTCAGAAGAATTTTCTAAAAAAAAGAACAAGTCAGTGTTCGTTTTATTCTTATCAAAATCATATAATTTTCATATTTCTTTCAGTTCTTGAGTCATAAATCTCTTTATTCTCATAAACTTCATATGTTTGGGATAAGATGCATCTTGTATTCAGAGGCCCTGTAATTTCAAAGATAATCTAATTTTATACTAGAGACTCATCTAGTATGTAGTAAGCAGTTGAATATAGAAATAGTTTCTGATGATAGTTCTCTATATATTTTTAGGAGCTGGAAAATGAAACTCTGTTCTATTAGTGTGTGCCCAGTCACCTGATATTTTCATTTAAATTCTTTTTATTTCTTTGATTAACAAATACTTTCTGAATAATTGTCCAGATCAGATATCTATTGAATCTAATTTGGTTACTGAGGTAATTAAAATACCACATCAACTGCATTTTGACCAAATGTTTAAAAAAATAGCCTACCACATCCATTTACTATTAGCACTGACTCAATCGAGCGTGTTTTTCTCTGGGATCAGAGACAAACCATCATTTAAAGAGATTCACTCACTTTGAACTTGCTTTGAAGCATCTAGGAAGTAGCAAGTGGAGGAAAAATGAGAATTTTCATTGGAAAAGATGAAACCGCCCTGTGATTTCATCATGGTTATCAAATTCATACTAAGAACCTGAAAGTCCATGTAAGGGGAGATTGCAAAAGGAGCCTCTCTGCACCAGCCTTACCACATCAGTAAATTGATCCACACGAGTCATCCTAATCACCTCAGGAGTTGCCGGGCTATTCAGGGCGAAGGTCTTGGTCAACCCCCTCTCTCTTCGGGCAGCACTCACTGCATCATTTATGGCAAAAAACAGAGGATCCCAAGAACATTCCAGCATCACCCAGTCCCTGAGGAGGAGGGCAAAAGGCCATCAGAAATGCATGGTTCTTTCGGGACTAATGCGTGTTTGTTACACACATATGCACTGGCACACTCAGACACACACATACACACTCTCACCTCTTCTGGCTTTATAACCCTCGGAGTGGAGTGCCTCTGAATTGCCCAAATTGATCCCCCCTCGAGCCGATTTGGGTGCGGGGTCTTCCTCAGAGTGGCTCATGAAAATGCCCCAGGTCATCAGGATAGCAGTGCAGTGAAAATCTCCTGTTCCCCTACCCAGGTCAAGAAGACCAAAGCCCTTGGTGCCCTCTCAGGTCCTTCCACTTGTGTGCCAGACCATTTGTGTTTCACGCAAAACCACAATGCAACACAACACAACACAACGACCACAATTGTTGTAGTCGAGCTGAAAGACAATGAGGCAGTTGCCTCTGGAGAGTGGACTGTTGAAGTTTTTGTCCGTGCTAACTTCGCTGGTATGTGTCGGATGCTTTCGAGTTAACAGTGTGGGGGCATTATATTTTTAATAATTCACCAATGCTTCTTGTACTGATTTTTCTTCTTTCTTCCTTCAAAGTAGTCTGGTCCTTGGTTTGTGTCCGGGGCTTTAGGAATGAGATGGGACGAAGGGCCCAAAGCAGATAAAGACTGTTCTTGGCTGTGGTTTTTACTTGGAAGCAAATGTTGAGGAAGAGATGAAGCTGGTGGAAAGGAGGGGTTTCCTCTGAGGTGTGGAGGGAGGGAGGGCTTGTGCCCTATTTGAAGTAGAACTGGCAGGTAGGTGGCTAGACTCCAAGATGCAGGGTTGTTTCAGGACAGCCTTTAGTCTGGTGCCGAAGTGGAGATAGAGGCCATGCATATAGGAAGTCTTACCTTCCTCCCAACTTTGACCTACCCCTAAAAAAGAGAGGGAATTCTCTGGAAACATGAAGTTAAAGTTGCCATTTGTCTGGCCAAATGCAGGCTCAGAATAGCACTTAAGTTGAAGAAGTTGTGTTTTTTGTGCACTTGTGTTTGAGAAGCTTTGCTTTAAGTCTATATGGGCCAGTTAGACCCCACAGGTCCCAGGGAGCATGGGTCAACCTCTCTTATAAAAGTGGCTATTAACACCTCAGAACAGATTAATCGTCAGTGGGAAACTTGTTTGAAAGCTCATTCTGACTTGGAGAGGGTGTGGGGAAAGGCAGTGTAAGCAAGAAGGAATCGAGTCTGGAGGACACGCGGGAAGGGCGCAGAAAAGGTTCTGGGCTGGTGAAATTTGCCTACAACTTCAATTTTATCTCACAATGGCACTTAGCCTAATGAACCAAGATGTTTGGGTCCTCCCTGATTCTTCTTAATTTGATTTAAATTTGTTTCATGATCTCTCTAAAGAGTGAAGACTCTACCTAGGCTTCAGAAGTTAGTGAGCACCACTCTGCCAGGAGTTTGCTTTTTCTCTTCCTGTCTCCTGTTGGGATCTGCAATTACAAGGAGTAAGCACATTCAGGGGACTGCTGCATTATTTCTTGAAGGAGTAGTTTGTTATGGGCTGCACTGTGCCCCGCTTCAATTCATAAGGTACTAACTCCTAATACCTTAGTCTATGACTGTATTTGGGGATAAGGTCTTTAGAGAGGTGCTTAAGTTGAAATGAGATCTTTATGGTGTGCTTATAAGAAAAGGAAATCAGGACACAGAAAGTGACATCAGCCATGTGCACACACAGAAAGATGATCATGTCAGGACAATGGGAAGGTGGCCACCTGTAAGGCAAAGAGAGGCCTCAGAAGAAATCAAACCTTGATCTTGGACTTCCAGCCTGTGAGAACTCTTCTGGTATTTCAGTGACAGTGGGGATTTTATAGTCATCTGGACTCGAGAATAAAGTACACCTTCTGGAGAGTATTTCAGTTCTTCTATGGTATAGAGTCCCATGCCTTGGATAAACGCTCCTTCAATCTACAGGCAAAAATTTTCCAGTTTATAAGCACATAACGTTGGTTGAATCAATATTCCAATGTGACTGAAAATGGAGTTCCGAACCACAGTAAGTCATTCTTAAAAGCCCTGCGGTGGACTTTATAAAGACTTCTTCAGAATCTGGTGCCTGCCATCCTGCTTGGCCTCTTCTCTAGCTCTTCTTGCCCAGGTACCCCTCATTCCAGAGACCTAACACTTGTCAAGTTCTGGGTAATTCTCCAAGCCCACCGGATTCCCTCAGATCCCCAAGGCTTTGTGAAGTCAGTTTCTCCTGACTCTTCACTGCTCCCCACCCCAGTGTGTCTCTCTGGCAAATTCCTATTTATGCCCCAAGTTCCAGCGGAAGACTCACTTCCTCTTTGGAGTCTTCTGGATCCTCCCGCCACTCCTGAGGTGGATTTAGGGACTGCTTCCTCCAGTCTCACTGCAGTGGAAGCCCTTCCCCCAGTAGGCTGGCACTCAGAGGGCTTTTCCTTGTTCGCCTCTCACTTTCGCTCTTGCTTCACTCTCTCTCACTGGTCTGTAAGTATACTGAGGCCTGGTCTTCTCGCGTTGTGTTCTCAGCATGGTGCCTGATACGTAGGTTCTCAATAAATGTCTGCTGAATTAGATGAAAAGGAAGCTAACATGAAAGGAACACGAACCGGAATAAATAGAACCAAAACCCTATTTATTACAGTATCTGGATTTCTTTACTTCCCTTTTTAAGTTATCACGGAGAGTAGATCAATGTTAATCAATGTGAGTTGGAAGAAAGATTTCTATTAAATTAAATATTCTTATTAAATTAAATATTTTTTTTATTAAAAGTCATGTTGAGTTCTGTTTACAAACTATCATGCCCTTAGGAAAAGGTTTAAGGTCCCATTTAAAGGGGGGTGTCTGCTTTGAGTTTAAAAATTGAAGGAGAGTTATGGTTTGCATTTTATTGAATTGTAAAATTACTGAATAAAGTAAACAAATTCAAATGCTAAATTTGGATAGTTTCCAAATGCTTGTCCCTAAAGGAAAGGATCAAAGTCTAAGAGTTCTGGCCTAACACACTTCTTGTTTTCTCTCCTTTTCTAGCGGGAAAAAGTAGGGTTTTTCAGATCACAACCTCTATCTTTTTTCCTTTGCTTCAGCAATAAAGAGGCAAGAATGAGCTGGGAGGAGGAGATAAGAACAGGAAGGGAAGGTGGGGCGTGAGGTTGGCTGTGGTTCTCAAACTGTACAGACCTAAGATGAATTTCAGGTGCAGGTTAAATGTGTAGATTACAAGTCTCAGCCTCACAAAGTTGTGAAGTCTGGGCCTGGGTAAGCTCAGGACTCCACATTTCCAATAAGCACCGTAGGTGCTTTTGTTGCAGAGTCTGAGGGCCACATTTTTAGAGACACTGAAGGACCAACTAGATTGTCCCTTAGAAAGCCCATTGGGCAATCTAGGTAAACAGATCCCTTAGGACTTAGGACAGTGGGAGCTGTTGGTAGACGAAAGCGCCACATGCCTGTTGGGTTTGATGCCAAGATGCTCAACCTCAGGTCTAGATTGCGGACCACCTGCCTTGCTTCACCTGGGAGCTGGGTGGCAGGGCTGGGGCGAGCCAATGCGGCTGGTCCGTTGGCGCCCCTTTGAGGAACGAGGCTAGGAGGAAAGAGCAAAGCTATACCAACAGCTGGAAAGGTTGTAACTTAAAGTCTAAAAAGACTGAATGCATTAATTTTATTTATTTGTGAGGTAAAAATTGGAAATTCAGCATGAGGGGAAAATTGTGTTTAAGCATTTCTTTTCCCTTTATATTTCTCTAAATTGTTCAGTCTATCTAAATTCAATATTAATATGAATACTAATGCAACTTTGTTATTATGTATTTATATAACATCCCCTAATTATAAACATTAATTAATGTTCATTGAAGAAAAATTAGAAAGCATGGAGAATTACAAAGCAGGATAAATCACATACATTCCTGCCATGAAAAGACAATTGTTTACTTTTTCTTGATTTTTTTTTCAACTTTTTATCTATTTTTTTTTGTGCGTAATATATAATAAATATCGCAGAGTACTTACACCAAGTATAAACAGCATTTGGAGAACTCTATGAAATACTATTCTGAATGGAAATGACCAAAGCCCCCTTGGGGCAGCCTGGCATCATGCACCTGCCCAATGTCCACAGCCGGGTTAATGCTGAATGCTGCATCTCTGAAGATATCGTCCTGAGGATCTGCGCCCGGGGAAGATACATAATAAAAAATATTTACTCAAAACAATTCTTTTCTGCAGTTTTGTACCTGTCCCTGGTTCTTCCACTGGCAGGATCAGGTCAATTATTATTTATGACATAGAAAAGGCATCAATGTTTGTGGTCACACTGTGAAGGTGCTGAACGCCAGTGTCACTCTTTACGGGCCATAAGAATTTGGCAAACGTTCTAAAAATAAATATTTGAAATGACATAGAAAATGATATAAATATTTGAAATGAAAGCTGCCGAATATAGCAAAATGTTAAATATTTAAATCAATTCAAATATAAACTGTTAGTTTGTGAACCTGCTTCCTAGTTCTCTAGGAGGTTTCTTGAACTTGAGGAATGTGTGGAGACCCCTTTGAAAGAAGCAAATAGTCTTGTAGACTCTGTAGTGTTAAAATTATTTTTATTATAACGTTGTTTAAATATATGCTAACATAAAGCTAGGTAGAGTCTCCTTAGAGTTATAGTTCTTTTATGACAATAAAGCAAAAACAAAATGACAGAGTGTGCAGACCAATCTACACACTAGTAGAATTAAAAATAACATTAATTTAGTTGACTGATGATTTTTCCTGAAGCTGAATTGCTGCTCGGAACGTGCAAAACATACTTTAGAGTTCAGCGTGCCTTTTGCATGCAGATTAAAGGATCAATTTTCTCTCCACTTTTCTTATTTAAATTGCCATTAGATTTTCATTTGCACTTTATGCCTTGCCCTTTTCTGTTCTTCAAGAAAATATCATTTACCAATAAAGTCCTGCTCTCATTGCCTTGGCATAAAGTAAACTTCTTGGTCCCAAAGGCAGGCAAAGAGATCTCATGGCAATACTCCACTTACAAATTGGTCATTCTGATGATGCAAAATATGCATGTTTTAACTGAAATAAAAATAAAAGTTACTGAGGTGAAATATGGTCCCCTGAGATCATTATACCAGCCGACTTCTGGTATAATGGACCCCTGCTTGGCTGCCTCTCTTATTTCAAACACAAATCTGTTCACATGTGTGCCCTTATTCTTCTCATTTCTTCTCTTGGTTTCTGTTCCTTCTGTCCTATCATCCCTTCTTTGAGGTATAGTCTCTGCTTCTCATGCATTAGGGAGATACCTATGTTCATAAATCTACGTTTGCTGGTTCTTTCAGTTTTCAATCATGGACTTCATTACAAATGGATGCCTTCAAAAGAGTGCCACATCTAAGGCAAACCCAAGTCACACAGTTCCTGCCTGTCTAAATATCAGATGTTCTTCCCCTTATCGTGCCCTGACCATATACTCCCGTGCATAACTCTACACTCAGCAATCTGGTGCTCTACGATAAGGTTCCCAGTTAAGAGAGTGAAGTATCGCAGAGAACATTTGTCATTCTTTTGTGACATCCTGAACTCCTTTCTTTGTGTGGAGAATTTTCTCACCTTATATTCCTTGAGAGTATCTCCTCTCTCTATTGAAGGTCCAAATGCCAGATCCTAATTTTTCTGGTTTCCTTCGCATTATAGAAAATTTCAAAATACACAAAAGTAGAGAGAATAGTATAGTTTTCCCCCTTATACCCTTTACCCATCTTCAACAATGAGCATTTATACCCCAATCTCACCCCCAGCTCTCTGTCTTTCCACTTCACTCCCCTTTGCTTCCTGTGCTCCAGCCACCCTCACATCCTTGCAGCTCCTCAAGCACGGTAAGTAAGCTCCCTCTGCTCCCAAGTATCTACTTGGTTTTCTTTTTTGCTGCATTCAGGACCAGGCTCAAGGATCACCAGTCAGTGCCTGGCCTGGCTTCCCTGCTGCCTAAGATAGCAGCCCCAGCCCTCGCACTTTCTCTTTCCATAACTTCCTTTATTTTGATTCATGACATCTGCCATTATGTTTCATTTTTTATTCTTCTTTCTTTATTATTATTTAATGATTTATTATTTATTAATTAAATGTAGGCTAGGAAGCTGAGCGGGGGGAAGGGAGAAAGTACAGGGAGGGAAGTGGAGAGAAGCCACCCTCACCTGCTTTCTACCTGCAGGGAAGTAGCAGAGACACTGCAGGTTGAAGTACATTTCGGAATTTTAGACAAGACATTTTAATTATTGAAATGAGATGTTTTCTGGAAATAAAATTGATCAATAGATTTTTCATTATCTTAGAATGATTAGAAAAATTACGGGTAGACTTTATTTAAGAGGAGGGAAGAAGAAGGCCACAGAGGGAGCTCCGACCACTTGGAATCTCGGCTCTGCCAGTGGTAGCTGAGTGACCTAGAACTAGCCACCTGACCTCTCTTGGCCTCCATAAAAGTTTCAGCTTCCATTAAAGAAGTGGTGGGACAAGAATCCTTCGAGCACTGTCATTAGGTGACTGAGAAATAAAAGAAAAGTCACGGGCATGGCCCTTCCGTTGTTATCTGTCCCCACGGACGCTGCCGTCATGACAGTATTGGGCACTGTGATTGTGCTTGTTTCAGACAGGTGAATATATGATGAGAGGATGTTCTGCTCTTGACTAGCCACCTGCCAGAAGCAGAAAAAAAAAATTATTTATTTCATTGACTGTAAGTCTCCTTTCATCCCAAATTGAAAATCTTTAAACTCTTTTTTGAACTAAGTATAAAACCTAGCTATCCTATAGGGACAC